TGCTGCTATGCCAAGCTGGCAGCGCGGCGGTGCCGCCCGGGAGCGCTGCAGCCGCTCTCGGCTCCCCGGGCAGGGATCCCCGCCTGCAGTGAGTGTCTGCACACGCACACCATCCCCTCTCTGTGCCCGTCTCCGGGGGGCTCGGGGAAGGCCTCAGTGCGGTGTGTGTCCCCCAGGCTCGGGCTCGTGGTGCCAGCGAGGCGCCTGCAGGTGCGAGCGGGCGGCGCGGCTGTGCCGGGCTCGGCTCCGCCGCCGCTGCCGGGGACGGGCCGGGAGGTGCTGAAACAAAAACTCCCTTGGCCAAACCATCTCCGGGGGATGATCCGACAAGGGACGGCGCAGGCAGAGCTTCCCAGCCCTGGTGAGTCTCCTCCTCGGAGCCTTTTGGTGATGCGAGGAGGGGGAAGCAGAGCTGACGTGATGTTCCAGCACAGCAAAACAAGGGAGGGGTGGATGGACACCTGCCCCTGGTCCCGGTGATGGGAAACGTCTCCCTTGGCAGCCTGGCCGCTCCCTCTGCTTCCTGCTTCAAATTCCCTCCTGTTGCTCCAAAATAAAAGCAGAGAGCCCAAAGCAGCGGTTCCCAGCGTGCCGTGACTCAGCTGAGCCCAGCCAACACCCCTCACCTCTCACAGAGCTTTCCTCTGCAAGTACCCAGCAAAAACGACACTTGAGAGGTGACACGACTCAGCCCTGAACTGCCCCAACTTAGCTCGAAATCCAGGCTCTGAAAATTGCCAGTTTTTCTGGGGGATGGAGGAGTGGAGACTGCTGGAAGGGCTGGGGGCAGGAATGATGGTGTGGGAGGGACAGGCTTGGACTTCGTTTATCTTTGTGGGTCCCTTCCAGCTCGGGATGTTCTGTGATCCCCTAAATCTCTGCTGTGACAGGATGGCTGGGAGCTTGCCTCACACCCAGCGCTGAGCAAAACAAGAGTTCTCACCAGAAAAGAATGTTTTGGCCCAATTCTGAGCACATTCCTTAGGAAAAGGCAGTTCTGGCAGTGGCTGCTTCCCCCCACTTCAGCATCCCCAGGTTTTGTGCCTAGTGTTGATCCCAGCAGGTCCCCATGCTCCAAACCACCTTAGGGGGAGGTTCAGCAATGAAATAAAGCCACAGAAACATCAAAACACCGTTTCCTCAGGAGCTGATGCCCAGCTGGAATTGCCACCCTGGGTTGCCCCATAGCTGAAATCAATGGCACCAGGAAATAGCCCTGAAATGGATGTTTCTGGCAGCTGTCAGCCAGGAATCACACCCTGCCACCCTCCTCCAGCCATGTGGAATCCTGGGGGAGAGGAGGAAGAGCCCTTTGCCCAGCAGCAGGGCATAAATCAATGATCAAATCCTCACGGAGAGGATGGATAGCCCAGACAGATTGCAGGCTGGGATAAACTCAACCACGCTCTCCCTTTGTCAATTCTGGGTGAATTTTAACCACCCAGGAATTTTCCTGCTTGGACATGCAGCTGTACAAATTCATTCATACAAATCCTCCAAATGCTGATGTTTTGGCTCAGACACTGCACCCCCCTTGGAGCATTGCAATAAACTGGGCTGCAAAAGTTGTGGTTTTCATACTAAGAAACAAAACCCACGGCTTCCCAGGAGGTGTTTGGCTTTTGGAGGGACTTATTTCCAATTTAACCTGGCACAGGTTGAGGGGATGGGGTGGAGAAGCTTTCAGTGGAGCTCAGTCAGTTTAATAGACAAGAATATTGAATATCCCCTATTCCTCCATGATAAAACTGATTGTGGACTTGGAAAAATCCTGAATAGTGGCAAATCCTGCTTTAGCCAATTAACACCATCCCAGGGGACTACCTAAATTAACCCAGAGAGCTGATGATGAGCCATGTCAGAGGGGGGAAAGAGATTTTGTTGAGCTGAGTTCCTTTTTCTCAGCATCTCTCTGATTCCCATGCAAGTCACATCCTTATTCCTTGCCTCAGTTTCCCTACCAGCCCTGGGGGGGGGATTTCCTCCCCTGCCTCAGTATCTGCCCATGCTGGGGTTCCCCAAAAAGCAGCACAGAGCAGCTGCAATCTCTGCCAGAAGTTATCCTCTAAATGATTGTTCTGTACCACCAATTTGATCAGAAATTAAACAACACAAGCAGCCTCTTTTTCCCCCCACCTTCCATCACACACCACCAGCATTTTTCCTTCCCTGCCATTTATTTTGCTTCTAAATAAAGCTGCACCACACACCTCATGCCATGAGGTATTTGAAAGCACAGCACTGTGCCCAACACACGTGGGGAGAGGGATGGAGCATCTCCACATGCAGGGCTCTGAGAAAGCCCCAATATCAGGAAAAGCACCAAACACGGCCCCTGCTCAGCTCCTTCTCCAGCCAGAGACATTCTGGAGTCCCTGGGATCTTCCTCCACTCCCACTGTTGCATCTCAGCCACTCTGCTGAGTTGGAAAGGGAGGATGCTTTGCACTGGCTGCATTTTCTCCTTGCTCCAGGTAAGTTAGGATGGAAACAGTGAGATCCAGAATGGTGTTTTCTAGCCAAGACACCAAAAAACTGCCAGCCAGGAACAGATTGGATCATGGAATCACAGACTCCTCAATCTCATTCCACCTTATAAGGGACACCTTGGACTAAGTGGTTCCTGTTGTCCCTCAATTTCTCTCATTTTACTCAGGGAAGCACTGGGAAAGCTGAGACACCCAGAGCCATGCACAGACTCGATTCCAGGCTGCCCCACACACCCAAAACCTCCTGCCAAGAGCTCCCCCACCTAAGGCATCCCACAGCCAGGGCCTCCAGCAGACCTGCACAGCAGCAGCAGCAGTATGGGGAGGATTGTCAATATTTGCCCACTTTGGGCTCTCCGGAGGAGGGGCCCTGCTGAGGGTGCACAGCCATAAAAAGTGTGACCAGCAGCACCTGGGGCTCACCAAACCCCAGAGCTGCCACCACCAGAATGAAGCTCCTCTCGCTGCTCCTCTTCTGTGAGTTCCCCCCACCCCTGGGAAAGCTCCCAGGTCCTGTCTGTAGATAGATGGAGAGGGAAATGCTCATTTTTGCTGTAGAAAAGTGGGATAGGAGGTTTTTTTTTTCCCCATTGTGCTTCTAACCCCACTTCTCCAGTCCTAGGACTGGCTCTTGCCAGCTGCAACTTGGCCCAGTTTGGAATGATGATTGTTCAAAAGACGGGGAAATCGCCACTGGCTTACAAAGGGTACGGCTGCTACTGCGGCTGGGGGGATCCAAACAGCCCGTGGATGCCACTGACAGGTACATTGGGACAGGGTCAAGGCACAGCAGGTGTCCCTGGCCCTCCTCACCTCCCTGCTACAGCAAGTGGAATCTTGTTCCTGCTCCTGGGGGTGGAAATAGCAGTGAGAATATTGTTGCTTGTCCTTAAAGCCTCTTTAGAAAGTGGTTCAGCGGCAGCAAAGATGCACAGCAAAGGTGGTGTTGATGTTCTGAGTGTTGTCCCAACTGTCCCCTGCCCTGACCTTGGTTCTGGTGCCCCCAGGTGCTGCCATGCCCACGATTGCTGCTACAAGAGATTGGTTTCCTCTGGCTGCAGCCCCAAAAGGACCATCTACAACGCTGCCTTCTAAGGCTGGTGCCTGTACCCAGGAAAACTCCTAGGAACCACTCCACAGCTCAACACCAGTACAAACCATCTTCCTTTCATCCAACACTGGATTATGGATCGTTCTTCATGCCCAATTTCACTCCCAAAGCTCTGCAGACATGGGGATGTGGCAAAGCTGTGAGATAAAACCAGAGTGCAGCTCCTGAGTAGGAACAAGGGACAGGAAACACAGAGCAGCACGGGCAGAAAACCCTTCCCCTACACAGATGTGCTTATAGAGATCAGCCAGAATCTTCTTAAACACTTAAAACTTCCAGTTCAACTAAATTCCTCACCTGCAGGGGAAGGATTTGGGAAAATAAGTCCAGGGAAGATGATGGTGGGAAATAGGATGCAGGGAAAGCAGCCTTTCTACATCCTCCTGCTGCGTATTCACCCTTGAGAGGCTCACAATGACCCTGCTGCAGAAACAGCCAAAACACCCTCAAATTTGTCAGCTAAGAACAAACAGTAATCCTGGTCAAAGCCCAAAGGGAATATCCACTGCTTATTGTCCGTCCTTGGCACCGGATTACGGAGCACTCAGCTCCACCAAGGAGTAAACACACGCTATGTATGAATCATGGTGTTGTTCTGCTCTTGTTTCTTGCCTCCCTTCCTCTTCCCAGGAAAATCCAAGACCTGTTTACAAAGCAAATTTCACTGTGTAAACCGAGTTCTGTGAGGAATGTTGCGCAAAGATTTCCTAGGGAAAAAAAAGTATAAATATATACATTAGGAAGGTGGAAATTTCAATGGGAAAAATGTGAAACAGACAAAATCAGTTTTAACATCTTTGGATATGGAATGGCTGTGCAGGGACAAAGCTACCCCAGCAAGATAAAGGGAATTTGACTGGTTTGTCAAGATCTGTGAGCACAGCACATTAAGAGTTTATTTTAATCATATTACACTCAGAAATGAAAGCATTTTCAGCCCCAGATTTTGTTCCATGTATCAGAGGCTTTGGGCCAGTCTCTTCCTCTGCTGTTTGTGCTGCTGTTGCTGACCCCCTCTTTCATCCTGCACACGATGGGGTGAGCTTTTGAGTTCCCTCCTCACCCTCCAGGACAGCTCCTTTCACAGCTCTCAAGCTCCAGCCAACAACAAATCTCTTAACAGCTCTGGCTCCAGAGGACAAAAACCCAATTCATTCAGATCAAACCTCTCACAGTGCACAACTGCAAACTCTTTATCTTTTCAAACCTGCAGAACACACCTGCCTTTCAGACCAAACTGCAGGGCAGGGCAGGACACAGGTGACACAGCCACCTGCACTGCCTTGCCAAACCTGCTGTCACAACTCATCACCCCCGGAAGGAAATTGCACTTTCTCCCCACTAAGCTGTGACTCACCTCTCTTCCCACTATTGTAAAAATGACTGTCTTGGAGAAAAAGGAATTCCAACACCACCAGTTCTTCCAGATGAACTCCTTTCTTTTTATTATTCAAGTAACAGCAGCAGAGCACATCAAGTATCAGCCCAGTTCTTGGCAGTTCAGTAAAAAAAAAACATTTATATTTCCATGCTGATTCATAAACTTTAAAGCACAGACAAATTTTTCAAATGCAACACTCCTTCCTTTTTAAAAATCCCTTTCACCTCTGCCCTGGCTGATAAGGTGTCTCCTGTAAGTGCACATGTGATTTCTTCAAGCTTAGGGCTTGCTACAAGCCCAAAAACCTGAGTGGAGCTGAAACACTGTGAGCCATAAATCAAAGGCTGAGTCCCACAGTCCTTGCACCTCGAATTCTCAGTCCTACAGTGGAAACATCACAGGAGTCAAGCTCACATCCTACTTGGTGACCTCACCAAAATGGAATTTGAGATGGAAAAAAAATCCTACCCTGGAAAAAAGCTTGATTTATTATGAAGTGAAATAGGCTCCCAGGGATCACTGCTGCTTGGAAGCTTCTTCCCAAGACTCTTGGTCCTTTGGCTATAGTAATTTCATTTGGAGACTAACACCTATCCAGCTCCTGGTTTGGACTAAAGCCCTGGAATAACCAAAAACTCTGGAAAAGGGGAAAGAGATTCCAGGTGTTCAAGTAAGAACAACTCACCAGACACTTTAAGCCTGTTCCTGTCACATTTACCGAAGTGGAAGAATCAGCTCTGCATTCTCATGAGTCCACTTGGATCATTGTTTTGGGGAGGTCTTTTTCCCCCCTACAGGTCTCATCTTACAGGATTTGATCCCAAACCTCAGCAAGCATGGATGCAACAATCCCCATCTCCATGTATTCATCCCTTCTGAACCAGCCCAGTGCAATGCCAGCAATTCCAGTGAGATTAAAACTTGTCACTGCATTCCTGCATGGCAAACAAAAGAGGAATGTCATGTTTGAGACAGCACTGACTGACACACTTTGCTTTGGAGAGGATTCTGGGACTCTGTTCTCTTACTTTATTTGAATTTAAATAGAAAAAGACTCACCAGAGATATTCCTGAGTTGGTATTTGTTAAGCTTTCCCTGACAGCAAGGTAAAATAAAGCTCCTCCAGGCATAACCAAATAAAAGGCAAAAAAAAACCAAACCAAACAAGACCAGGCACATCAAGAGATGTCAAAACAAATCTGACACCGTTGTGTGAAGAAAAGGTTCTCACCTTCATCTAACTCCAAGACTACAGACTCAAGTCTTTACTTCCTGTTAAGTTTAAACAACTCTTCTCACCACAGGTTGATGCAGAATCAATGAGCAATTGTCCTCCCCACAAGCAAAGGAAGAGGAAGTTCTCTTGTGCTTGGAAATCTCACCAGAGACGGATTTTAAAATAACCACGGGTGCCTGGAAATTCTCCTAGGGGAATTTTGTCTTCTTTGTTTTATTTGCTTTTCTCATGAAAGCACTGAGTCATATGTTTAGGGCTGCCATGGCCTTCACCAGGGTGACGTGGTTGGCTGGTTCTGGCTCTGTCCTGGTGTCTGCACTGTCCCTCTTGGTGGCCAGGACCTTCTGCCGGTGCCTCTCCTCCTGCCGCTTCTTCTTCTCCAGCCGCTGCTGCTCCTTCCTTTGTTTCTTGGCTACCTGGAAGGGAAGGGTGAAAACACAAAGTTCAAACCACATTTTCTCTGCTCAGCTGGGGAAAAGTTATAAAGAAGACAGGCAGATACTGAGGCAGCTGCCAGAGGACATTCCTAACTATTTGTCAGGGCTTTATTCCGGGTTGTTTTGGGAAGAGTGCTGCACATCACCAGGAAATGTTTGTGGGAGCAGTGACAGCTGCAGCAGAGACAAAATGCAGTGAGCAGAAGCTGTTTTTAACTGAAAGGAGAACAGAATTGCTAAGTGAGAAATGCTAAGGCAATCACTGAAGGGCGCTCATGTTGCTGCCAAACCCCTCACACACCTTTGGGTTTCTGCTGGCTCGGTTCTCTTCCCTGGATCCAGCTTGCTCCTTGCTGTTTTCTGCTTCACCTTGATGCAAGCTCTGATTTCCAAAGATTCTTGAACCAGTTCCATTCTCTTCCCACAGTGTCCTGCTGCAGGATTTTTGCTCCCTGCCCGGGGGCTCCTGCTGCTCCTCGGTACCTGCCAACAGCAGAGGTTTTCTCAGACATGCTGTACCCAGGAGCTGTCACACTGTCAGCCAATTCCTCTTCCCAGAAATCCTGGGGTTTTTTTGGAAGCTGGATTGAAACTGCCCTCACTGACAACCTTCCTGAGCACAGAAAACCTTCCTGAGCACAGAAGGCTGAGGTGGCAGCACACAAACCCCACCTGTCCTGCTGCTGCCCCCACCACCAGCATTACAGTCACCCGAATCCCCAGGTGACAAACTGTGCACTCACCTATTCCTTCCCCTCCCTTCACCTGCAAGATGGCAAATATTGCAGATTCCACGTCGTAGTCCTCCACTTCCAGAACGTGGCTTACCAAATCAATGTCCTGTCCACAAGAGGGGAAGGAGAACACTGAAGAAGTTCACATCCATGACCTACATTCACTTAACAACACCTACACCACTGAGAGGGGGCTGCTGCTTTTATGATCATTCAGATGGTCTGTGCTTTATTTCTGAAAGGGTGAGGGGGGAAAACCTTAAATTCCTGAAGATAACATAAAAAAAGTAATATGCTGTTTTCAGTGTAAGTTTCCCCTCTTTACCCTTTCTGTCCTAGCCACCTGCACAGTGCCACGAGTGACAGATTATCCAATTATCTGTGATCTTCAATAACCCCAAAGGATTTCAGAACTTACAGGATTTGTTTCCAAGTAAATTTTATGAGAGCTGCAAGACAAATCTACCAAAATTATTAGGCATCCACAAAAAGGTTGCTATTTCACCTGCCTTCAAGGGTTGATTCTAGGATGAGATGAACCCTGATTGATGGCCCTGATACTCAAGTTTGTACAAGATGAGTGTTTTTTCAGAATTTTTCCCAGGATTACTTCCATGTTCCAAGGAGATTTGAACATTAAGCACAGAAAGGCTCCTCAATACTTACTGAACACCCAGTTGCGCTGCACACTTTTTGTACAGCATCTTCCAACTCCACTTCAGTCTCATCTTCAGAGTCACCCTTCTGTGGCTTCACTTCCTCTGACTTACTTGAATTGTTCTGGCAAAGCATCTGAGGAAGAGCAAAGCCCAGCAGATCACACAAGCATGCAATCCAAAGGAGTCTGACATCCTAATAAAAGTAATTATCATGGCACACTTTCCTCACAAACATCCCGTGTCAAACCATCAAAGCTGTGTAACTTCCACCATCACTGAGAGTTTCCCACATCTCCTGCACTGCTGAACAAACTCCAAATCATGAATCACAATAAACTAGCTTTTAAATGGATTGTTTTTAATACAATACCACACCTCAGCTGTGTGCAGAGAACCTCAAGCACAGCAGTTACTCCTCAACATCAAAAAGGGAGATATGAAGATATAGATAAAGGTATCTTTCTTCCCTTCCCTTTCTTTTTCCATTTGAGGTTGATGATTACATCATTCAGATGAGGCTGCTTCCAGACATCCCACACCACAGCACCAGCTTTGGGTTCATTTCCAGCCCAGAGGCTGAAATCCTCCCTCACAGCCCCTTCCAGGAGAGCCAGCAGCATGAGCTACAACGACCTCAGGGCTTTGCTCCCCCAGCACAACACAGAGACCCAGCTCCTCCCTCCATCCAGAATGAGAATGGAAATCAGCTGGCAGCACTCCTCAGCTCTGTTTGTCACCCACAGCTGCCTCATTCCCTCACAACCAACCTCCATGCGAAGATAGGCCGGAGATTCCGAGTCGTCGCTGATCCTCCTGACGCTGTCGTAGTGCTCCCCGTACCTGTAGGCGATGTGCAGCTCCCTGGCATCGCTCCTGTCTGTGCCCCGGATCTCAACAAAAGAAACAAACTGAAAATGAGGGTTTGGAATCAGCATCAGATTTTTCACAGTGTTCATTTTTTGCAGTGATAGCAAACACCGTGAGGGAAGCAAGTATGTGGTTGCTGGAGCATTTGAAACAGGAAGAGAAGGAGGTTTGAAAGCCAGATGTAAAATATTGAGCAGTTACATCAGAACAAACAGAACATGGAATGAAAATATTTTTTGTGGAAAGCTCAGAACTATTTCCTGAACTCTCCACAGGAGCTATCAGTTTTCATCTTCCCAGAACCAAGTTCAGCAAGAGCTCCCAGGGAATGTACCAAGACATTTTACCCTCAGAAACGAGGGAAGATAGGCCATTCAAGTGACAGCA